ATTTATTCATCTCTAAATATTATTTTTTGGTTATGATTTTTACCCTTTCTGCTCATTTTGTTAGTTAAGGAAAATGCTTCCTCCTTTTTGTGTGAAATGATAATGATGGCAAGTAGTACTTGCTTTTGTTGTTTTGTTCTTATAATAGAACAAAAAGTTGCAAACTTTAATTTCAGCCTCTATTTTGCTTTTGGAACATTATTAGTTCATAAACTCAAAAAAAATTAGAAATCACAGAAATATAAGATCTAAAATTTTTCAACCTTGCTGAACTTTCCAATATTTACAAACATCTTGATGTGGTCATCATGCAGCCAAAATGTTTTGGCATCGTGTGGATCCAGCCTTTGAACACTTTAAATGGGATCTTTGACTGTACTGTGAAAAGGACAAAGTTCAAGCCATGCAAAAAGGTCATAAGCTTTAAAGACATCAGTGAATACAGGCAATTCATTTATGCCGAGCAACTGGTGGGGTCTTATTACCTCTCATGCTGTACAACTTATAAGGGGAAAAAAATAAATAAATAAAAGGAAAAAAGTGGGGGGGAGAGAGAGAGGAGAGAAATGTAACAGAAGTCAGAAATATAACGAACAGGGTGGCTATTATTTGGATTTGAAGGTCCAGTATAGAGGAGTGCTTCATCTTACTATAAAAAGTCTAGTTATGGATGGTCTTTCATATTTGAAATCAGTATTCATTTCACTGCCTTTCTGAAATTTAACTCAGTCATTGTAATGTAATCATCTGTGTAAATTTGTGTTTATTCTAAAGATAACCAGGACACCACAGGAACTATACAATATTATTATTTAGAGGTGAATCATTTATTTATAATTTTGATGTAATTTCCCCCATCTGTCTTTTCCTTCCCATACATTAAAATACATGTATAATAAGAAATTGGTTTATAAAATAATTTTCAATATCTTTCATATTGTACTGGTGGTGATGCTATAAATGTATTTTTTTTTCTTATTTTTTCAAATGAATCTACATTAGAAATCATAATGAATTCAGGGGGAAAACACAAAACTGAAAATTTATAAATTAATACAATGGAAATTAAAATTAACTCATTATAAAAGATTATGATTCTTTTCTCATGATTATTTGGTAACATTCAGATTTAGAACAGATCAATTTTTTTTTTCTTTTGCAACATGTTAAAAGAAAAAATAGGTATGTATCAAAAGGGCTTTATATATGAGTCTTGAATTTCATGAGACTTTACTTTTTGAAACTACATCACAGGAGAGTGTAATATATTTGTAATTGATGACACTGTTGCTTGAAATCATATGAATTGACTTTCTTTGCCAGGCCATCTACACTTATGCTTATTGTCTACATTGTCTTATAGCATATCATGATAATAATGCTAATAATAATGAGCACTTCTTGAGTTATCTATAAACTATTGCTTGGCTTTACAATCAGTATATCTTCCATTTTATCATTAAGCAAATAATAAAGACACTAAATTATTTGGTGAATCTGGAAAGAACAGAATGCTTATTTAATCACCTTTCAGATTCAAGAATATATACTTCATTAAAGAGTCCTTGTTCTAAAATGGCATCATTAAATATAATCCTACATTTACTTGTCTTTATGGTTGACAGAGCATGTAGAAGTTGAAGTAATGCCTCAACCAGAAAAAAAACTGAATTATACCTCAAAAGAATTAATTCCTCTACAAGCTTTTGTCTACTCAGACTCACCATAGTAAAATTCTATAGAAATTTAGGTTGTTCTTTAAAATAACATGTGGTTGTTTGACTGAATATGAGCATAGGCAAGATGTGAGAAGTTAAAGAAATATTAAACATCTCACATTACTGAATATTTATTTTAGTTCCAATACCAGTTTAGGTTATTGTAAGGTTTATATAACAGAAATTGGAAGGAAACATCTACAATTCTGAAGGAGTAGATTCAAAGTTGAAGCTATTTAATATCAATTACAACTGAATGTATCTATGTATAAGAAAATCAAAATAACAAATTTAAATAAGAAAAATAAAATATTGGAGAATCTGAGACCTAGATTTAGAAAAAGAGTGTTTGATTTTAACCCAGGGAGTTTCACCATGGAAAGTGGTGAGATAACCTAAGCAATCCAGAATTTGTATTGCTCCCTGCCATGAGGGTCTCAAAAATAGTCTTCTCTCAGTTATAAAGCAATGTAAAAGGTCCTTGTTAGAGAGGAACATATAAAGAATTCATAGTGAAAAGATTAAAAAGACAACATTAAATACATTTGAAAGCAATGAGAAATAGCTACTAACCTATGTGCCAGGAAAATAGTATCTTTTTCTTTTTTTAATGAAATGGTTCAGTAGTAACATTTTTGAAAGTATAATTGTTTCCAGAGTGATTTCATAAAAGCCACCAATACTTTTCTCTCAGTTACCTGTACGTAGGACCCAATAATTCTCTTCCAAACTAATTTACAAAATTTATCCTGTAACATATTTTTTGATTGGATAGATATTTTCATTGTTTGGAATATCTGTTAACTGACTCTTCCATTGCTTAATATCTAAGTAATTTTCTTGGTTGAGCTGGCTTTTTTTTTTTTTTCTTTTTTTTAGTTTTCCTGGCCAGTTATAATTTGGCCTCTCTAGTATTGGGACAGAATTATAGATTTTAGAATGAGAAGGAGGGATGAAGGGCATTCATTTGATAAACAGATCTCCTAAATGGCCATTCAATTGATGCTTGAACATGTCCAATGATATTAGCCCCTGCCTCTGGTGACAGCCCCTTTCCATCTTCAAGCAGTTCGGAGTGTCTGAAAATTCAGTTTTATATTAGCTCTGTGTAGCACTGATCCTTTGCAATCATTTGGACACTGGTGAAAAGAATGCCATTTAAAATCAGATTTCATGTAGTAGAGTCTCTGTTCATTTTCTTTGGAGACTAGTAGCTTTCACTTATTTTAGCCATGAATCTTATGAATGAGACTCTTTCTCTTGATCCAGTCCTTCCTCTCTCCCTCCCTCCCTGTCTTCCTTCCTCCCTTTCTTTTTTATTGGGGGAAAGGGGTGAGGCCAGCCCAAGATTGTACTATTTCTTATAAAGGAAAAGAAAAGCATTTTAAAACAATTCTTGAAATTTTGTATATAGGATAGGTAAATATATATACACAGTCATTCAATTTAATATTTATTGACCTGGTAATATGGAAAAGAAACCATGTGGGTTGTGGATGATGAGCTATTCATATTTCCTGAGGGAATTTTAGTTCTAGTAGACAAGTCATTTATAAGCATAGTTGCAGTATTTGACAGTATGATGCAAGTTATAAGAATAATTCAAGCAAACTATACCCAGAAGATCTCTGAGAGTTTCTTGGAGGTTGAATTCAAACGGTCCTCTAAAAATGGATACTATTCTGTCAAGGTCACACATAGTTGTAGAAGTCAGGAGCTATAGTAGCAAGGGCCAAAGAATGGACCAGTACAGAGGATGTTCTCCTGCATGGAGAAAGGCAGGAGGAAGAATACTGGGCTACGGTCTAAACTCAAACGGTATTGACTTGACCTTTAATGCTAAGTTAAAGAGTTTGAATTTTATCCTCTATTTAAATCATATTTTTGATAATAAGATAGAGATGGCAATCAAAGAAATATATAAAACAAGGTGATCTATCACTCAGCTAATGTGTTTCCAGGGGGTAAGGGCTGGGACAGAGGAAGGATCTACGTTGCAGCTTTCTCTCCTTGGAAGGTTCATTCTACATTTTGTGGATGCTGATAAAAGTTTCTTACTAAGTGTACAAAAAAAGAATCTGAGGCATTGATTCAGGACACACAGTTTTAGAGAATCCTCAACATCTCCATCCTATAGGGATGGAGTACATATACTCATAAATAATTTTAAGTGAAACAGATTTTTTTTCTCCTTTTTTTAGTCTTTTTTTACTGACCGGTAACGGAATCACAACCCTCAGTGTTGCGCCTGCACTGCGCTCAGCCAGTGAGCGGGAACCGGTCTCCACATGGGATCCGAACCCTCGGCGGGAGCGCCACCGCAGGCCTGAAACAGATATTTTTTAAAAATCCACTTTGGGAGGGTTCGGATCCCATGTGGAGACCGGTTCCCGCTCACTGACTGAGCGCAGTGCGGGCACAACACCGAGGGTTGCGATTCTGTTGCCGGTCCCTGGTACGGGCGTGACACCGAGGGCTGCGATCCCATTACCGGTCAGTAAAAAAGACAAAAAGGAAAAAAAAAATCCACTTTGGTGATTACCAAAAACTACCTTCTAACACAAAAGAGGATTTACATTTAATGTTATTTTTAATTTAAAAGTATGGATTTAAAGTTCAGTATTTGCCTATTAACAACAAAAGCAAACTGGAGAGCAAAATGAAACTAAAAAATTGAGGGCAGATGGTAAAATTAATTTAATTCATGTTTCAATAAAAGCCTCAGCTCAATTTCTCTGTATATGTCAGTTTCAAAATACTTCAAAGGATTTAGATGGTGGAGTTAATGATTTAATGGTCAAAAATTTGTACTAAAATATCTCAATAAAAAGAGTCCTCAAACAGCATAGTAGGTTAAACTGAATATTTCCGCAACTCTTCTGCTCTGTTCACCTCTATATTTATCCTTCTAGCTAATAATGGTTTAGAGCAAATGAAACCACTTTTAAAAGTCTGTAAAATTAAAGACATTTCTGTACAATATTGACCATTCAAATCCATTACTACATGCAAATAGGTTCTGCCAGACTAGTTTGTGTAGACAAGTTATTTCTCTTCTTTTCTTCTTTTACCACCTTGAGTGTGAAATCAGCAAACAAAGGAGTACAGCTCCCATTTCAACAAAGTGTAAAATATTTGGTTCCTACGTATTCGTTAGTATTGTGAAGAATAAGTTCTGATTGATAGCTACAGCAGGCAGTAGTTGGGTTACCATGTACCAATAGTCTATGTTCATGTAGGACGTCACATTAATACCCAATGTCTTGCTTTGTTACCTTGCAGAAATGTTGGAATCCAACAATGTGATCACTTTCAATGGCTTGGCCAACAGCTCCAGTTATCATACCTTCCTTTTGGATGAGGAACGGAGTAGGCTGTATGTTGGAGCAAAGGATCACATATTTTCATTCAACCTGGCTAATATCAAGGATTTTCAAAAGGTATCTCTATTCTAATATACACACTATAGTTTTTTTGAAACATCTCAAGTTATATTGGATTTTCTAACAGTACGACGACTGACAGAAAATCATTTTAAATTAATATTTTATCTTTTCAGATGCAAATAAAATGGCAATAACAAAATAATAATCAATGAATGCAGTAAACCATAAAAATCATCAAGGAAGAAACCACAGAATTTTCAATGATCATTATAAGAAATACTAACTTCAGCTTATGCTTCTAGAGTTATATCATTTTTCTCCTGCATAAAAGTAAATACCTGAACAATTAGAAAGGCATAGTAATTAATTTCAATTTATACATCTCTTTATATTGCTAGCAAGCCCATGAAGCCATTGTCCATATAACTAATCTGGTGTGCCACCTGTGTTTGTAAATAAAGTTTTATTGGAACATAGACACTTTCATTCAGTTACATATTGTCTATGTCTGCTATAGTATTACAACAGCATAATTGAGTAGTTGTGACAGTGATTATCTGGCCCACAAAGCCTAAAATATTTACTATTTGGCCTTTTAAACAAAAAGTTGACAAACTCTGATCCAGAAACAGTTTTAAAGCATCAGGTTTTTATAAATATAGTCATTTAGATATTAGCAGGATACCAGTTTTATCCAAATTCTTTATAGCGTTTCTGGCTTATTTCATTAATAAGCTTTATAGTTTGGAAAATAAACATGGATTGACAAACTAGTGAAAATTGTTCTGCTAAATCTAAATGTACTCCAGTCATTTTTTTGCAGTCAATATTTCAGTCTTAATTCTATGAGAAACAAAGGTGTTTATGCAGTAGCTTTCTCAAGAATCATAGTACAACGTGCTTTTTGGAATACAGTATCTATGTGTGTTGGTTTTGCTTCTTCCTAACATATAACTCATCAGCTATAACAGATTGGATGATATATTTTTTTTTAAAGTGACAGAATTTTAAAAAAGCTTTTGTTCTGTTTGGAGAATGTTGTTTTGGGGATAAAATGAAGGTTTTAATTTAAAGCTGATCCATATCTTTAATAGTGTATAACACTAAAATTAAGACTTTTTCTTTTCTTTTATCACCTGAACACTAAAATTCTGACCATGTGCATTAAGAGATTTAATTAATTATATCTAGTTATATAAAATGTCAATGCACTTATGATATATTTTAAATTAAGACGTGGGACTTAAAAATCACCTTATGTGTTTCTTTTTCTCATTTTTCAGTTTGATTGTTTTCTAAGCCTTCTTGGATGATAGCAATAAATGGTCAAGGTTACTTATTGTCTAAGAAAACTGGTTATTTTTTTTCCTGAAATGATAAAAATATTTATCTAAGTATCTTTTGAAAAGGTCACAAAATAAGCAAAAAAACAAAAGGAAACCATTCTTTACAAAATGAATGTAAAATCTAAAATGATAAAAGAAAATTCGATATTTTAATTTTAGGAGATCATATCAGTTACAATTAAAATTGTCATTATTTATGACAATTCATTATTTTGTAAAATCTATGTATGTTCTTATCTATAGATAGACAGTATATGAGCACAGATTACCTGAGACTGTATGTTTAATGTATTTAATATTTTTCTTTAAATAAATATTCCGAATTTGGTTAGTATATTCGATTGTTCCTAAAACTGAAAAGAACAATATTGTGTAAAAACCTACTATTTTTATAGCCAAGAAAAAATTGTGGAGCCAGCATACATCATAGTGTCTTCTACCAACTAGACTTGTAAATAAATACATTTTGAATTAATGAGTGAATGAGCAGTTAAGTGACTGGCCCTATGTCACAGTGTTCATGTTATAACTTTTGCCCTTGAGTTTTGAGTGATTATTCTAATAATAAACAATGTATTTCTAATTTAAACCATCCTATTACAAACATAATCTAATTTTAATTATATCACATTGTATATAAGAGTGAACCCAATTTATTTAAGGATTTACATCTGTTTATCTATATTTATCTATATTTTTATGCTCTTTTTCACCTATGTATATATAATGTTGTTTAACAACTTTCCCCTAAGCATCTACTATTGTGATAAACTCCGTAGGGGATACTATGTTATGTCATAAATAATTCTTCTTGATGACCTTACAAGGTAATGGAAAAGAAAAGATGTGTGATATTAAAGGTAAATACTAGGTCAATCCTTCTTAGAGGCAAAAACACATTCTCAGATTTGAAAGGACCAGGGAAAGATTCTTGGCCTTGATAAAAGGGTGTAATCTCTTTAAGGCATAAATGTTTATTAAATGACCTGAGTAAGAAGGGCTGCCATGTGTAGAAGCATAAAGGCATAAAGAAGGGAAAGTATAACGTACACCAGAAGCACTGTGAATATGAGAATAAGAAATTTAATTAACTGAGAAATGTTTGAGCAAAGAAGAACAACAAAATTCCAATACTGACAAGATGATAAATTCAACCAAAATGTTAGTAATCATTCTTTATGGAAACAGATACTGTTTGAAAAGGCTATTAAACTTACATTTTTTTTTGTTCCACTTATTGTCTTTAAATTGCTCTCTAAAAGAGCATTTCCTACATCAACACTTATTCATGTCAAATCTTTAAGCTTTTTATTGTTGTTGTTTATTTTATTGTTTAAGACTCTGAAACTTTTAAAAAGTTTAGAGTACACATCCTTATAAGTATGAAAGAATTTAGCATGAATATTATAAAATTATTTTTATTAATATTTGGCATAAGGGAGAATCACAAAATGAGGCCCATACTCTCATAACAACCAACAATCAAGGGCTAGGAAACTATGAGAAAACACCTTGCTTTAAAAAAAGAAAAAGAAAAGAAAAGAAAAACAAATATATATATACATATATATATATAAAACAAATATATATATAAACAAATATATATATATATGCATGTATGTTTAAATAATCTGTGATTTTAACACGGTTTAGCTAGAAAGCTGAATATGAAAGTAAATAAATTTTAGCTCTGCTATATATTATTATTGTTGTGCCCTAGAAAAAAATTATATTTCATCTTCCTCCATTACAAACTTTAGATAAGACGTTTACCAGGCCTTTCCACCGCCAGTGTAAAACTGTATAATGAGACTGTCCAGCAATCTCTGTAGAAATTCGGGAGTCAGGGTAACGTTGATTGTAAGGAGGATACATTTATTGCTCTTGAGTGTTTTTATTATGTGTCTGCTTTGTAAAAAGCTTGTGGAACAATTCAAATGATAATTTTAATTTACACACACAGATACATACAAAAACGAAAAAACATAAGAAAGAATAAACTAATTAAGAGCTTAATGGTAAAAGTGAATGCATATCTAAAAATTGCAGGGCTTTTATAATTTTGACATGAATCTGAAATGTATTTATCGATCATCACGCATTTCAAAATGTGCCAAATACTTGTTTGTACATGTGTTATATTTTGCTTTTTAATTCCCTAGATTGAATATCACAGTCTTTGCCAAAGTTAATGACCATTTATATTAAATTATCTAGAGGTCCCCAAATGAATGATAATCAGTCATCTTGAGGGTAAAACTTTCTGGTAGATATGAATAATTGATTGCCACCATCTCTGGATTTTTCTTTTACATATGACACTTTTTTCCTGAAATTAGTTAACATTACTGGAAGAGAAAGATGAATTTAAAAAGCAATAAATTGCTCTACTCCAACATAGATAGGAGTTATTAGAATTGTTCAAGGGATTTGGGAAATTTTATATTAAAATTTTCATGAAAGTATTTGGATCAATACTATTGAGGGACATTCAACCACAGTACTGCAAGCTACTAGTAATGTCTTGGCTCATCTTCCACTGTCATTGTATTCACACAATAAGGGACTCTTTAGAGGGATTTAGACCAAATATTAAGAATGAAAACACAAAGAAATATTTCTCAACTAGTCTAAACTTAGCCCACAGTGGGGAGAGTGATTTTTTTTTTAGAACTATCTATTTGCTTCTTCAGTTCCACCTTTATTTCCCTAAAATGTACAGTTCTACTTTTGACTATTTTCTGTCCAAAAAAAGAGAGAAAATAATTTTTTTTTTTTTTTTGTAAAATAGGTTTTTCTAACCCTTTCATTTGCTTGTTCTAGCATGTCACGCTGGGATTTGGATCAGGGAAATGGATACAGACTGCCCCAATGTGAAAATTTCAAAATCACTGTTTTGTAATAAAGATTCACTAATTCAGAAGAATATTAGCCATGTTATCTGTCAATTTCTACGTCACTTCACTAGATTCTAACATCTTCTCAAGAGGAGCTCCCTCTGCCAACTTGTGTTACAGTTCATCCTACCCTACACTGCTTAGATCTATTGACTATATCAGTTTCTGCCTTGTTCAAAATTCATATAAAGCAAAGGCTAAAGGGTAGATGGAAATGAATGACAAATGCACACCAATTAACTGATGTCACTGGAAAGTCTCAACTGAAAGTTTCCTTCCATATAATGCTTTATGGAACCTTTTTTACCTTCATGGTCCCAACTTCATCTAAAAAACTATATAATGTTGGATTTCTTTGAGAACTTTACTGGGATAAAATAATGTTTCTTCTCTGTCCTTAGATTGTGTGGCCAGTATCTTACACAAGAAGAGATGAATGCAAGTGGGCTGGAAAAGATATCCTGGTAAGTATCAATCTACTAAGTGATTTTAGTAATTGCATAAGTAATTTATTACTCTGTCATCTATTTCTGTTCAGTGTTCCATTAAACACAATGCTTTGCTTGTGGACTTAATCAAGCTTGAGGAAGAAAATACTACTGTTCAATTATGAAAGCATTGGCAGATTTATGCAAAGAAAGTAGATAACAAAAACAATATTCCAAAATAAAGCAAAAATATGATTCCTTTGATGATTTATACATACAAAAGATAATTAACAAAATGAAATTTTGTAGCATAAATACTTATATTCGGTAAACCTATTTATTTGTAAAATTGATTTTCATATGGTAATCCTCTTGAATTCTCGAATTATATGAAACGTTTTCATTTCTTAGTCGTGATTAAATCACCCCTCCTTCCTTCTTTGAATTCCTCTCCTCTGATCTCTTTTCCCTTTCCTTTCCTTTCCTTTCCTTTCCTTTCCTTTCCTTTCCTTTCCTTTCCTTTCCTTTCCTTTCCTTTCCTTTCCTTTCCTTTCCTTTCCTTTCCTTTCCTTTCCTTTCCTTTCCTTTCCTTTCCTTTCCTTTCCTTTCCTTTCCTTTCCTTTCCTTTCCTTTCCTTTCCTTTCCTTTCCTTTCCTTTCCTTTCCTTTCCTTTCCTTTCCTTTCCTTTCCTTTCCTTTCCTTTCCTTTCCTTTCCTTTCCTTTTCCTCCTCCCTTCTTTCCTCCCTCCCTCTCTTCCTTCCTTTTTGCATTCCTTCCTTAAATAAATATGGATTGAGAAATAACCATGTAACAGGCATTGTCCTGGACATGGTGGAGACAAAGATAAGTAGTAAGCGATTCCTACAATGGTTTTATCATTGCAAGAAGATAGAAGCCATTTTTCCTAAGGCAAACTTTGTCAGTAAAATTAAGTTAGTGACTGGTTCGAGGTATAGACAAAACATGCACAAACCATGAAACGTAGTTATAACCATTTAAATAAATACTTTTAATTAATTAATTAAAAAATACAGGATTATAAAAATACAATTTTGTTATTTTTTGTGTTATGGATATTTTGGGATGTCTAAAACACAAAAAAAGAAGTTTAAAAAATAGTCTGCATTTTACAGTATTAGCATTTAGAAGAAATTTACCCTATGTGCTGCCTAAAGACATAAATCAACCTGTTTATATGTATACAGATATATAGATGTTTTCAAGTGACAACTTGATTGATTTGTAGCAGCTGCCTAAATGAAATGTTTAGAAGGATTTAGAGTTGGAATCTGACTTCCTGGGAAAAGAATGCCTCAATCTAGTCAGTGAAGAAAGTTAGGTACAGCAGCATGAAGCACATGTTTTCCCCATTCTTAATTTGCCTACATATTAGCAAACACAGAAAATTTATCCTTGAAAAGTACATATTAAATTTTTATTTTAAAAAATTATTTATGATACTTGTTAAAGATGGTTAGATAGATTTTATTTAGGGTGACAACTAGAATGGAGTTTTGTAGTAAGGGAGAGAGATTGAGCTCATATCTGAATACAAGGACAAGTGGAGATTTATAGACAAGAAATCGGGGAGTCGGTGAATGAAAGCTTATAAGAGGAAATATCAGGAGTAAGGGGAATTTTGGCTAGCTTGATTTGACAGGATTATTACTGAAGGCAGGCCAGAGTGATGAGATATTGAGGGTGGAAGGTAAGGAATTTGATCAGATATCAAGGGTTGGAGATTTTCTCTAAACTGACCCAGCAGGATTCTGGACTAAGCAGAGGTAAATGTGGAAAGTCAAGAATCAGAGCATCCCTAAGAACAGAATTCAGACGAGTCTGACTAGAGTTAGGCCAGGAGAGAGAATCTGTCAATTATAAGTCACATTATACCTTCATAGTACAGTAGGTATTTTTCTGGTTATGTAAAAATAAACAAAAAAACTGTTTTATTCTATCAAATTTTATATCGTCCCAGACTTATGCATATGTTGGGACTTTTGGAAAGGAGTAAATAGAAAGAACAGTGAAGTAGGAGTACAGAGAGGTTAAGAATTTTATGTTGATATCCCCACTGACTCATTAAATGTACTGTGAAAGTATTTTAACTTTTGGGGGCTTTAGTATCCCATCCGTTAAGTGAGACAATCCATATTACACAATCATGAGTAACAAGTTTAATAGCATTTGTGAAAATTATTTGAAAAGTAGGAAACACTTCACAAATGAAAGGCCAAAAGTATGTGGATAAACAAAATATTTATTAACATCAAAATGTCATATTTACTGCTAACAAATTTTCAGTTGAAAATTTTCATTGTGATAATAACTGAGGATGAATAGAAATGGCTCTCTTACCTGCTGATAGCAGTTACTTTAAAGAACACAGACTTCTCCCTTTCTATTAATGTCTAAAAAGTGAAGACAGAAAAACGTACAGTTATTGAAAATGTCCTGAGTACCAAGTACTTTGATAATTTACATAGCGTTTTGTAAATGTAGTTTTAACAATAGTTTTATGAGGTAGGTATACTTGGCTCCATTTTATTGATTAGGAAATGAAATGATCCAGACTGTTCATTCAAAATCTTTTCTTAAAAAAATTTCGAACTTTTTGGGTACTATGCAGAAAGAAGAGATAAAAATTTTTGTCACTGATGGTGTTTTAGTTGTCAATTGGAATATTTGGAGATGAACTTGTTCATTAACAACACAGAGATGATAAATGATAGATAACTGAGCAAATATCTTACTTTTTCTGGGCTCATCAACAGTGTGGGTATGATAGTAACCAGCTCACAGAATTCATGTAAGCTTCCAAAGGAACACAAGTAAAATGATTACATAACTGTAATATTAATTACTAACAATATTAGTAATAAAAATATCAACAATTATTGTTATTATTGGTATATGTAATAGAGATGTATGAACAATTTCTAAGTGTAAACATTGTTAATGAAATTAGTTTTGTCCCCTTTAATGATTATAACCACTGAAGTGCTGCATTGTTCTGAATTTGATTTGATCTGAAAATTGAAGGTAAATAACCATACTTATCTGACAGATTAACTGGATTTTATAACAAGCACTGAAGCCAAGTACTGAGCATATTGGATTTCATGATTGAATCAGCTCTTTCAATTGCCAAGATAGCAGATATTCTTTTGTGTTTGTGTTTTCCAAAATTATTCACCTCAGTTCATTTTCCTCATCTTTTATGGAACTTTCTCCTTTCTTTCTCCTTCTCTTCTTTCAGTTAACAATACTGAAAGAAGTTACAAGCACCTTGTAATAAAGATTTCGAAAACTTAGAAATTATTCCCATACACTGTAGTAGAGATAGATGCTTTGAGAGATATGCTTTTTTGAATGTTCAATGGTATTACAATATTAGCCTTACTAATTTTTTTTAAAATTCAACTAATTAATGTAACATGATAAAATATTTGTGCTTTGATATTTGTTTACATTCTACATTAAACCAATTTGTTATGGGTTTTGAATTATTTTCATTAAACATTTACTTAATGAAAGGAAAAGACAAGTTTTTATGTATTATATTTCAAGGAAAAAAATTATTGTTTCTCTAAGTTTACTTAATATTAAAATATGTGTCATACTATTTATCTGGTAAGCCATCTTGTTCCTTTAATATAAAATTTCATTGACATTATTCAATATATTATGCATTTAGAATGCATTTCATTAAAATTCATTTTACTTTGCAGTTAATCTCATTTAAACACCTCAATTTACATGTTCAATGCATTAAAATAGGAAGCACGACATTCATTGGTTATTGCTGGACTTTAATTTACAGACCCATTTTTTTTTTTCTATTTCTTCCTTAACATATGATTTTAGAAATAGCTATTAGATGATTTCCTAGGATTCATAATATTTCTTCCTTGATAAACATAAGAAGTTACATAGTATTATTATTTTTAACAATAATTTAAATAACCAATTAGAAAGAGAGATTAAGGGGAAAGAGTGTTTTTTATTCAACATCTGCTGTGCAAAGTGACACATGGACAGTTTGCTGGAAATTCTGCATGTATCTTGAGTAAACAATAGTCAGCTGTGACTTATAGACAATAAATCCTTTCAAAGAGCTCTTGTGATTCTGAAAACCACAGGATTGAGGCTTGAGTGGTTTTTGTAGCCATCAGGGCTCCGAGATAGAATTGTAACCAAAGTAGGAACTGACCTGAGCATTTATAGAAAAGTAAACTAAAAACCTCCTTGAGTGTTCTCCCTGGTTTCTAGAGCCCGAGTTTAGACTTTCCTTACTGTTTTTCTCAAAAAGTCCTCTGGAAATAAATTGTCTTTAAACAAATTACCCTCAGGGATGTGCTGACTTCTAAGCATCAGACTCAGATGTAAGGATACAATAGAAAAAGTGGGGCAAAGACACTGGCTATTTTACACCCCTTGAGAGTGGGTCACTGTTAAGTCTGGTTAAGGGAATGCTTCGTTTCTATGGCTAAGATGACACAATCACCAAAAAATCAGGACATGCCACTGGATTGAACCCACATAGTTTCTGTGTCACTGAATATTGTATCATACAGAAAAGTGAACCCTCTTGCCATTCTCTCATCCAGCTGGGAAGGTACAACCCATCATTATCTTCTACTCGGTTTTGCATCAAACGAGCATATTAAATCATCAGCATGAATTTGAGCAACTATTCCACAAACAAAGAACTTCGTGGTAAAGAGGGAATCTCCAGCCTGAGATGCATACACGTGTGTGTGTGTGTGTGTGTGTGTGTGTGTGTGTGTGTGTGTCTATGTGTGAGAGAGAGAGAGAGAGAGAGAGAGAGAGAGAGAGAGAGAGAAAGTGTGCTGATAATGACATTTCTGAAAATGGCATTATCTAAATTCATTTTTTTTCTCTCGTGGAAGTGAATATGTAGGACATAAAGCATGTCATCATATAAATGTGCCTTGTTTTCTTGGTGTTATAGGTTCTAAACCTTTAAATCGCCATGTCATCCATATCATTAGAGGAGTAAAATGCTCGTGGAC